TTCATATCATTATTTCGTTTTAACAGTATTATTTGGAGGTTTGAATTTAAAATAATTATTTGAACTCTCTTTAATATAATTTCATTAATTACGCGAAAACATATGTTAAAACAATCAATATAGCGTTGTTGAAATGGTTTTGTCGTAAATTATTCAGAATTCATAGATACGTGTGGATTTTTTATGAATAAATGTGAAATTTGTGGGTTTTTTATGAACAGCTTATTGAAATTAATACTTGAACGTGGTGCGGACTGGACACAGAGAAAACGAGAACTTTTTCTTTGGAGGTGGAGAAAAACGGGAAAAATTTCTCCCCTCAACCACGCAACGCAGCGCAGCAGGAGCGCTAGTGTCGTTTCAGCGCAGAGAATTGGGTTGACCGCCGGGAAGTACGAAAGAAGTTACATTTTCTCCAAAACGGAACCTTTCAATGGGAAACCGAATGCCGAAAACGCAAATAAACATAAGTGTCGACAGGCGTTTTGGCGATGTGATTAAGGGACCATTTATATGCAAATTAAATGTTTGAAGTTCATATCACACAAATTTATAAACGAGAAGGTAATGAATTGAAAGGGAAAAGGTATGAAACTGTAACCTTAAAATCAAAATTTTAGTATTCATTAGTTTATTAAATAAATCTTTTTTTGTTTTCTGCGCTTGTTTTAGTGGATGAATTCTCGTTTTTTTTAACACTTGCATTCTCCGAACACAAGAGATTTACCTCAATTTTTCTGTAGTGCCCACTGACACTGGTCTTTGTTGCGCTCACTGCCTTATAAAATGAATATTTTTAATTAATTCGTGAGCGTCCTGCCCAACGTGGCTCTTCGCCTCAGAAATGTGCGAACACTGTTAATAAGGTTTATTTCATAAGGCAGGAGGTGTAAAAAAGACCTAATATTATCGGCCTCTATAGAAAAATGGAAGTAAATCTCTTGTGTTTATGGTCATTCACGAGGCTCACTGGCACTGCTGCTCGAGTATCTTCAGTCCGTGCCTTTTTAATTCCTCCCAGGCGCACCGCCGCCAGCTCCTTCGCCCAACGCGTTCTGTCGCGCGTAAGTGGAGCGCTTCGCTTTCATTGCATCATTGCAGCGGCGGCGGGACTCGCCCTCTCGCCGAAGCCGTCTCCGCACCCGTTCCGCACCCTCTCCGCAGACCTTGTCAGTTTCACTCTCCTCTTATCCATGAATCCCTCACCGCTCCTCCGCTGCGTCCTTGTCGCTTTTACTTTACAACCTTGCGCTTTCTTATACTTCGCCAATCGTTTCTCTTTTCATATCTTCCGTCAGAGTAGTTGTGGTTTCATGTCGCGTTCTTTTAAACTTTACCTCTTAACGTTGTATGCAGTGACGCCATGAAGACGTCTTCTTTCTACACCTCTTCTGCCTCCTCTGTTTCTCATTCTACACTTCCAATGACCATCTATATTACTAGCTTTGGCGTCTAGTCTCTTCACTTTTGATACCAATTATATGAATTGTTACTATTCGCTGTTTGTATGTTCTTTAAACACTACTGAACCTCGTACGCACAAACATCACATAGTCGTATAATTTATTGCATCTTTCCCGCTTCTCTAACCACATCACGCTGAACTGCCAAACCACCAATCCAACACTCCAACGACAACAATCCAACTCGGCAGATTTGTCAGCTAAAACCTGTTCTCGTTTGGTACTTAATCCTCTTAAACCATGTCATTAACGTCGCATACAAACATTACGTATTCTTCCGCGTCTGCCGCATCCATTCCTCATGTGACTGGGGGCGTGCTGACTACCAACCCCGTCGCCAGCTTTGGCGCATTGCCCTTCGGATCCCCTTTGCCTCTTGAAGACCCTTTACATCCGTTACTGCCCGTCTCACCCGTCTCGCCCTCCACGCGCCGTCGCCACCTCCTCCTCGCCCGCTCGCATAAGAACGTCTTAATAAGCTCCATGGCGACGGCAGGGGGCGGGCTCCTTTAACAAGCGCATAACGCAGTTTGGCTCCGCACGCGCGCCCTCTTCCACTTTGTTTGCACCTCTTTTGAAGCGCGGCGCCTGAGAATGCGACTAACCTCGTTATCCGGAGCCGGCTTATTCAAATTAAACGACTGGCAGCGATGTCCGTTAGGAGGACGCGACGGCGCCCTTTCATAACTCGGCCCCGGTTGCCCTAATCCGCCGCCAGAGCGCGCAGTTTCTTAATTTGGCCGCGAGAGCGCGTCGGCGGCGAGCGCAATCTGGCGCTTCTAAGCCGCAAACATTTTAACTGCATTAGCGATGGCGCCCCGGGTGGGGCGGCGCTGGCGGATGGAATTTTTAATTAATCCCGCGAGGCCACCTGCGCAGAAGGATCGGATCCGCGGTGTCACTGCCTCCACGCTGGAACGACTCCCGGGAGTCGGTAAGCGCCTCAGGAACGGGTCTTAACCCGCACTTCGTGCGCCACGAGCGGTTCCTTCGCAGCCGCTGTTTCATTAGACGGCCCATCTCGCCCGGTGCAAGGCGAGGGCGGGTCCTTTTTCTTGCGCGTAGGATTCCCGAAAGAAAAGATGCAGATTCCAATGGGTACTTCGCAGCTATGCTCTCGAGATTGAAGCCATGAAAATGCAGTACAGATGGAAGTACTTTGCGAAACAAGCCCAAGAGAACTCGGATTTCTTTTCGAAAAATTCGTTTCCTCAGCTATTAGGTTAATTATTTTAGAAAATGTTGCGAAGAGAAACTTAATGGCCGTTTCATTGAGAAAATTCAGTCTAGTGGCTATTTTGTTACACGTTTCTACACGAATTTTATAAAAAACATTTCAAATGTATTCAAAACACAGAGTTCAAAAGCACAATAGGGCTATTTTATGAATTTTAGCAACCGAAAATAAAATCTAAATTTGTTTATGTAACTTCGGATCAAAATACACCACCCTGTAACTACAAAAACATTTTGTTTTGCTCATAAAGTTCAATTTTTGAAATACGCAAAATTTTATGACATAAAGTATCTTACTTATCTACACAGGCACATTTCATACAAATCACGACAACAAGTCCTCGCATGAAGGAATTTTTTGCCACGTTTCGTGTAATTGTTAGCGTGTCTATTTCCATGCACGCACACTAGAATACGGTTAATGCGGCGTTGTACACGAAGATTATTTCCGCACGTTAAATGCAAATTCTTTTAATTGCTTCTTAAAGCATCACGCCTCTAGGGTGTAGCAACGCAATTCCGAAATTCACAAATCTCTATCCCTACGAGACGAGTGTTGGCTTCAATGCAATACAAGAGGCTATTCTCAGCTCGTAAACACTCATTAATTACAAAAAGATTTGAAAGTCTTATCAATGAGATCCTACATCAATTCATTTTTTAAACACTAATGATTATAAACCTGTTTTCGTATTTACACTTTTAATGAATTATGTCACGGGAATTGTTTAGTTATTTTGATGTCATAACTCAATTAAGTGTGGGGTAAATGTTAATAATATATTTTATAGTCTTGTTTAAAGAACTGATATTGTTTTAAACAAAGTTTGATGCTGGTTACTTAGCTTCCGTATAAATAGGGCATGTGTTTTATTACCTTCCAAATAAAGTGTTGTTGCTTATATCTCTCTCTTTTTAATATTTCTCGCCTTTACATGCATTTCCGCTCGAGAGTTTTAATCTGTAAATCAGGAATGTCCCCATGACATGCCACACCGTGGCTGGCACAAGCACTTACCTACGATGATCACGTGGTTGAGCTAAAGGTCGCGGTCGAAATGTACTGGTTTTGACAATCGTAGTTCTTTGATTCGAAATAAAAGTGGATAAACTACTTATCTTTATCATCATAGCGTACTTTTGTAAATTCTATGACATCTTTTATAAAGAATTACTAAATTATTAAATGTTCTATCTTTATTACCTTTCAATGACCTGACAAAATTTTAGAAGTAAATGCCTTCTTTATTAGATAGATACTAGTAAGTTTACAGTATTATATCACAAATTTTCCTCGGATATCTTAATCGTTTCGTCATAACATTTATCAATATTTCACACAACTAGTAATAAAATTAATTTGCCATAAAATTATTATTTTTCTGCAAGCTGACTTTCAGTAATTGCACATAAGTCCCAATTCTTTAACTTAAAACAAAAAATAGTACAAATACAATTTTTGTCAGTCCACGTGCATCTTTCTGTTTTTGAGGCGAAGTGCACGCCTTACAATGAAGTAATGGAAAATGAGACGTTTAAATTGTTATTGTCCCCCCATTAAGATTATGTCTCTAAAGTTTTCTATTTTGCTGATTAAAATTTTTAATCATATTGAATACAGTTAAAATAGTTAAAAAAGCATGATAAAGTATAGAATAAATACGCGCAATGAGGAAATGGAAGTAAGGTGACACAATATTCGGTGGCAGAAATGCAAGACTATTGTATTCATTCACATGGATGGTCGTTGATGCAGGAGTGTCGGCGCACATTCAGTTTCATTTGTAGGACGAGAAACGGCAATTGTTTGAAAATTGCAGTTGTAGCGTGCGTTAGTGCATTGAGAAAAGCTCCAAATTCCAGAGCGTTTCCAAATAAACACTCCACAAGGATTTTCGAAAATTCGGACTTGGCCTTGCCGTTTTCAATGACTGATACATAAAGCGCCAGGTAGTTATTTTCATCAGGGGAAGCATTATGACTTCACCCATCTTCGTCCGGCTGTTCTCTGGACCGTGTGTTCTAGACCCTCCCGTAATTCGCGTATCTTGGCCGAAGAGCGATTTTGCAGCGGGCAGAGAGGCGAGGGCGGGGCGGAGCGGGGCGGGGCGNNGGTCGAAAGGAAGGAGTGAGAGATGAGGATGGACGTGCAGAAGGGGTAGGATGAGGGAAGCCGGGAGTGGGAGGGATCGGAGTTAGAATGAATGAGACGGAATTGAGTGGGACAAGACGAACTGGGGAGGGAGCGTGCGAGGCGGGTTGGTCTGGGGTCGCCAGGGCGCCGGGTCGGGGGCGTATCGGATGTCCATAAGACGCCGGCTGCACCTGATGGCGGCGACGGAGGCGCGCCCTGGCGAGCCTGTCGCAACCTCGGGGGCATATCGAGCGCCAACCCGATTGGAGGGCGCCCTCGCCTCGCCACCTGGAGGCAACGGGCCCCGCGCCGATGGCTCCGTTATTTATCAGGACCAGGGCGCGTTTGATGAAGCGAATGGAGAAGTCGCCGCCCGCAATTCCAAGGCGCTCGGCGCGCGCAGATTGCCCGGCCAGTCCGCGGCAGCTGGGCGTTTAGTTTCGTTCTGAAGGCGCGCAGTGGGCGGCCAGCGAGCTTTCGGCCCTCTCCAAACAAACCTTTTGATTAATATTATGCCTATTAAAAATGCCAGTTTGGTAATAACGTAATGATGAGTTGTGAAGTATGATTCAAAAAGAATTAGGAATTTCCCTTGTGAAAACCTATCAAAGACACGTGTGGTACTTCGTAAAGGTTTGAAGAGTTGCATGCTTTAAGAATTCTCTAACGATTTATTTAGTCTTACATTGTGAAATATAGAATGGTCGAAATGAAAAATGTATTTCGGTTAGCAAGTTGTATTTTTACGTATTATTTTCTCTCCTAGTATTTTGTAAAAAAATAAAATGTATCTTAATTGTGAGAGACATAACAATCTCACGAGTGACTTGGACAAGCTCACGCTCTGGATTGCATCAGAAAACATGTTCTCTTTATGAACGATAACGTCTTTTCTGTTTATAATTTACATATAAATAACTGCTATTTTTCATTTCTGTATTTTTTCTCATTTTAAATCTCAATTCATACACTGCAAATAACGATTTCAATGTGATAGATCCTATCTCGTTATTAACTTTTCAGTTTTCTTAAGTAAATTAGCTCGGTTCATTTTCTATTTGAAAATTAACCGAGTTAATTAATGCTTTAGAAATCTTTAACCTGAATATTCTTGATTACTTGTCAAGAATATTCAGGTTAAAGGAATTATTTTTGTCTCTGTTGACCTCTAGGTTCAATTCAGCGCTTTGTGTGCTCTCGGGCTCGCTTTGCTTCTGCAGCTCTTTTTCTTTCAGATTGTCTCAGTCAGGGGGTGTCTATTTAATCTAGCGCAAGCGATCCGAGAAGAAAACAAAGGGAATTTCGATACTACAGAACGTAGCAAATTCCTGACTTTATCCGCGTAAATCGATTACAATTTGGTTTTCTCTTTATTTTGTCTAATCCAATAAGATTTTCTATATCTATACCGTAAAAATAATTTTGTCATGTTCAATAGTTTAAGAACGAAATGTAAAATTAAAAATATCATTTAACTACGTAGGAAAAATTTAGATGACGTTTTTCCTACAAAACCGTAATACTCACATTTTATTTAATTGGCTTACATTTGAAATGACTTGGTATTCAGTCATTCTTACTTCGATATATTTCTTCCCTTCACCTAAAACACAATTCAAAGAAAATATATTCTAAAATAAAAGTTGATTTTAAATTCTGTTAATATTTTAAACTCCATTATCACATTCATAAACTTGTTGGTTTTGTCGCAATACGTCATAAAACAATACAAACCTTTTAAGAAATATTACAGTCGACGTCCTACTATTATCGTAGAATTTTTGACATTTGCTACCATTGTCAAAACTCTTTTTTCTTTCTCGCTGTCTGAACATTATAATAAACAATATAAAATTATATAATTTTGTCACTTTATTTCAAGGCAAGACTTTTTTATTTTCTATCTTAAGAAAATAAATATTAAAATATACGTTTTGTAACACCGATTTCGCTCTGTTCCAGAAGTTCCCAAATTTGGCGAGCCCATCACAAACGTGACAGCGCCTGTGGGCCGCGAGGCCATCCTTGCCTGTCTCGTTGATGACCTCTCCACCTACAAGGTAAGCTGTCAATTCGTCTATTAATGTTGGGGCTTTTGAAACGGAAATATGCTAAGAACAAATTTATTTTTATAACCAGTCATACTTTTTAAAAAATACAGAATTTATTTTCGTTCCATAAAACTACTCGTATGCGAACGTGAACCTCCAATTTCCTATCTTAGTTTCGTATCACATGAGTTAAGATATTTTTTTTGAAAACCTACGTCATATGAGTAAGTTATTGGAAAGTAAATGATTGTAGATTAATATATTTGAAGAATATTTTTTCTTATTGCTTGTTGATTTGTTATGCAGTAGGAATACTGAGTAGCAAAGATTAATTTGTATTAATTGTAGAAACGATATATTATCAAATGCTTTTACATCTTTTTATGACTAAACGCCATGCAGTTTTAAATGTAGTTCTACCTAAATGTGTATATTTCCAATAAATGAAGATTGAAGGACTGGACCATTCTCTACCATATACGATAAATATCCATTTATGATTGTTTACTAAGAAACTTTCAACTAAATAGATATTGATTGATGGGGGAGTAAGTTTTTATTTTAAGATATTTCTAATTTAAACCGAATTTCAGCCTTTCTGACAACGTAGAATCAACTTCAGGAAATATCAAGTGATTCGCAGAAGAAATATCAAGAAAATAATGTTATGATAATAAGTGTTCATAAATCATAAGTGGACATTTTTAAAATACTAAATTATGTTAAAAATGTCCCAATGGTTTGAAAGTTGATACAGTGGCGTGTTAATGGTCATCATTACATTCTAGTCAAATGGTTCTAAAAGGCGAATGTATCATTGTATTACTTTGCATAATCTTTAATGCATTATCATTTAAATTTTAAAATTATTTTTAACTTACTTCTGAATATGGAGGTTATTAGAAATTGCGATCTAAATGGATAAAAAAGGTAATATTAAGTTAATCTTTACATTTCTGAATTGAGTATGAAATTCACAATGAACTTCATGAATTCGTAAATATGTAACTGGATTTCCTGGTTAGAAATGTAGAGCGGCAATGCCCATGACATTGTGAGTGTTGGCTTTGCATTCAGAGGGGGCCAAGACATTTCGCAATGAAATTTCATTTTTAGCGCATTACAAAGGAAATTGTCTTTCACACTGCGACATGCAGATAAATGGCTTTTACAATAATTTGCGTCATTGTGGTCGAAGGGACAATTCACAGACCGGACAATCTCCCTTTCCGCTTCCACGTCAATTTGAATTAGTCTTTAAATAAAAAATATTCCCCGAGGGTTAATTTATTTAGATTCAATTCCACCTTTCTCTTGAATTTTTGGCGGATCGAGTATGTTGACAGTAGGTCACGTCTGGAAACGCGAAGCGCGTCGACATCGCGCGCTGCTCGGCGGTGGCGCCACCCGGCACGCTCACACCGCGTCTCACATGGCGGATTCGCCTTGTTCCTTGCGGGCGGTGCCTGCCAGCCAGCGAGATTTGTTACTATCTTCTCCCTGTGCTCACTATAATTATTTCGATGTGTGTCCAAAATCCTTGCACGCGTTTGCATTCTTACTTGTAAAATTATTGTGAAATTAATAAGTTTTCCTAAAAACCGAAGAAAAGTTTTTGAAGAACGAATAACTTAGCTTCAACTATTTCTAGAATTTTCTCATAATTTGCACACATTGACTTTTCATTTCTAAAAAACCAACACACGTCACGACACAAGATTAGTTTCACCGAGTTTGCTTTTGTGTCGTAAGTCTCTTAATAACAACGGGTTACAGTTCTTTTTGTTTCTCTCAGTTTCTGCATGCTTGTATCTGATGTATTTTTATATTTAATTTAGTACATTTAGATAAGAATTAATAATTTTATTTTCTAATGGGACTTAGCACAATTGCAAAATTTAAAATACGAATTCCTAGATTTTTTTGAAAATAATGGAATGATACTATTCGACTAGAATAAGTTAAATCTTATTATTAATAGATATTTATTACTGATATGAATTGTAATATCACGTCAGAAAATTGTTTAAATTAACGAACAGTTATTAACTCTCGTAATTACATTTGCATCAAGTTTTAAGAGGTCATACTTCTATTTCATATTTAAATTAATTTTTTTACATAATTTCCTTCTTAATCCAGACTTCATTCAGTTTTGCAGGACCCCCTTGATTCACGGAGAAAATAATATGGGCCCTTGCCGTGCTTCTAGTCACAGAAATATAGCTTTTCTCTTCCCCCGTTCCTTTCCACCCTCACAACTATCAGCTTCAGTCAGACTCTACTATTTTGTGGTTGACAAAAATGTATCAGTGGGATGGACTTGCCCTCGGGCCAGGCGATTGATTCCTTATTTCTTGATTTTGTACAAGTCGACGTCTATGGCCATTCGTCCCGTAAGTTTAGTCCGCATTTCATTACAGTATGTGGTGGTGTTCTTTCGCCATTGAGGGTTGAGATTCGGCGCCGGCCTACACATTGTCATGCAATGTTTCCCTGACCAAGTAACTCCCACCAGCAGGACACAACCCCAGCCGGGGCAAGCTTTAAGCTTCCGTCTGATCTGTCGACATGTGTAATTGTGTAATACATGTAAGTGTAAGTAAAGTTTGAGGGTAGCGTAAAGAAGAGGAAACTCGTCTGATCCATGGCCCGTTTGTTTGAGAACTGCTCCGGCATTCTTCTTGGTATTGATTGGAGAAACCACGGGAAAATGCCTATCGGAGCAGCCGGCTGCTGAATTTCGCCTCCAGGCATAGGCTGAACTCAGCTTGGCTGTCTAGCCAGTACCGAAGAGCCTGCCATCGTCGGGACTCGAAACTTAGGACATTGTCACTGCAGTGCCTCTGACCATGTCATAGCCTGATCTACTTAAGCTGGTTAGGGTGCTATTGTTGTTGTTGTTGTTGTTGTTGTTGTTTTATTTGTGTTATTCACTTTTTGAGATGGTATTGACTCTGAGGCCGTATGGCGCCGCAGAAGTCAGTTCTTGATTGTGGCTCCCACCTGCACTTCTAAGTCACCCTACAGTTATATCTAACATTCTAATTTCTAATTCATTTTATAAATATACATAACAGTTATTGACCCTTCAGGTATGCTACTTGCTATGCTCTGGTGAGGCACCGCACATCTGGCCTTTAAAAGGTACTCCATTCCACAATTCAGTCTGTCGCACCCCGTCGTGACCGCCGTCATGTCTCTCCTTCCACAAAATATCCGTTAGAGCCGCCAGATGTGGTAGATAGCATTCTGATAACAAATTCTCTCATCTGTTGTAAAGAAGAAGTGTCCTTTATTCCACTTCCCTGCCAGCTTACTGGTCATTCGGGACCGTGATAATTCTGTTCTCTAGCAGTTCGATTTCTTTGCAGAATCGTTCCTTGGACCAGAGACTTGGCTCATGGTTTCTCCCGTCTGAGCCCCCGCCCTCGCGCCGTCGTCTGTTTGCGCTCGCTCCGTCCGCTCCTAATTTAAAACGTGAAAGCTTTACGCCGAGCTTTCACAGCCGCCCCTTCCCTCGGCTTCAGAGCGAGGGGAGGGCCATAACGAGAAGAAAACGCACTTTCTAACGAGCTGTGCGCCTTGTTTATGAATTGGGATGGCTCGGGCCTGTCTTTGGCGGCGGTGCGCTGCTTTCCTCTTCTGCTGCCACCGCCGCGCTGGCGTCACTCCCTAGCCCTCCCCGCGATAAGTCAACACATTGTTTGTAGTTTACTCAATTTATTCAAAATAATTATCATGTTGTTCGTCTCATAAGTGCCAACTCTGGCCTGCTGTGTGGAGGAGAACTGCCCCGGTTGGAGCGGTGTGAAATACCTGGTTGAGAAGAGTGGGAATACCGTGTGTTGCTCCCTAGGCCTGAAAAGATTTAGTTTCCAACTTTACTAAATATAAATTCAAAAGATGTCATGAGAAAACGTTGTTTTTCGCCTTATGCATTATGTGGGGATATTTGCTTTCTCTACCTTGCCAAGGGCCTTTGTACGAAGGATGAGTTATGCAATGGTGCGCCGGAATTCAACGAATTTTCGACAGAAAAGCTCTTATATCTGGCCCTGTTAACGAAAAAGGGAATACAATTGGTTGCTAAATTTAGAAAAATAATCCTCTAACACTTGGTGTAGTTAGAATTTATGTTTTCTGGGTCGTTTATACCGCAAAATCAATTGATAGCAATTGGTCTGTCAGTCCGTTGTCAACGTTTGCTCCTAAACCGTTCTGCCGGTTTTCTTCAAAATTGATATTTCCCAATCGATCTCAGTGAACTCGAGGCTTTGAGAGTTTCAAACGAATAATTGATTGAGGATACTGTATATGAAGCCTCAAAAACATCAACATTTTCTTAAAATTTGCACTAAATGTTTTGATCAAGCTTTGTCTTCGGATAGGGTAAAGAAAGTTTAAGAGAGTGGTATAGGGGTGATGTATATTGAAATCACAGATGTTATGAAAATTGAAAAACTTCAACTTTTTAGGGACGTATTTATACAACTATAATATTGAAGATAGATATTTTTCCTGAATGAAATCTGATCCATAAAAACCTATCTTGAAATAAATTTATGTTCAAATTTTCGAAAATGTGAGTAGTGTTCGTGTAAGTTAGCGCAACCTGCAAGAAATTTAAAAAGACGCCTCATCCAGCGTCTTCCTTGCGGCTGTGACATGCCGCCTATTCATTTTTATCTCTCAGAGACGCACAGCACTGCACTAGGGCGTTCCAGCAACGCCCATTTTGCCTGCAGGGTCGACTTCACAAGATGCAATTCATACGCTTCGTTTTGTGTATCTTTCCGTGCGGATGATAAGAGACGTTCGAAAGAGAAAATAAATCTCTCAACCATAAGCAGCAAGCGGCTATCGTTGACTGTGGAAGTGTGTGTTCTTCTGCTGTCAGGGGTAGAGCAAAGGGAAAGAGAAAGAGAACTGAAAGCTAGGGTTGAAACGCCGACGGTAAACGAACGACATGGCTGGGAGCTATTCGGAGGTCATTATTTATGATAACAACGGTGAGCTGATTCACAATTTGTCGATGTGAATACCAAACTAGCCACAAAAAGTTACTCAATACGTCAGGGATCATTAATTAAGCCGAGCTGGAACAGACCGTCCCCGGGATTCATCGAACGGTTTTAGTTTCATGCGTGTCTGACAGTTAATCAATGGTTTTCACGTTTTCTAAAATATTCAAGCAAATTAATAGCATAATAGCACATGTTTTCATTTCTGTCTTTTTACTTTACTTGACAATGAATAAACGCGGCCTATCATCTATTAAGCCCATTCACAAGAGAGTTACTTCTTTTTACAAAAAGTATCAAAGAAGGAAATAGAACCAAGAGCACTAAAAAGCTTTAGATGCTACAACAGAACATATTTTCTAGCATTATTGTAATTATAAAAATTTTCTTAATTTCAGAGTTCAACAAAATGATATCTGTGACATTTTTAAAGTTCCCTTTGCTCTATTTGAATAAAAAATGTAAGGAAAAATGTTGAAGCCATTTTGAGATTATTTTGTAACTCTTGTTAACTTTAAACAGAAATCACACAAAAATTATAGTTAAACAAAATTTGTTGCCTAACTTCAAGATTTACTTATTACAACAGATTTCGTATTCTTCCTTTTTATCTCCTTCTTCCTCTTCTTCTTCTCTTCTTCTTCTCTTCCTCTTCTTCTTCTCTTTCTCTTCCTCTTCTTTTTTCGAGTCGACGACTGCTTAATTCCGTTTTGCAGTTAAGTAGAGATAGCCAAGGCTCTCTGGTTTCCTAGGGCCATGTCATCTCGGGATACACGATTAGGGCAGCCCGGGCAGGAAAGTAGAAGGTCCATCGTCTCTTCAGCACCACAGGAGTAAGTTGAGATACGGTAGAAGTAGTAGTAGATTCTGAAAAAAATCGAAGTTTCTCAATATTCGAAAATTTAGACATTGCAACGAAAGTGAGACCTGCACCAAAGTGTCCATTGCCCATTTTGAGGGAAATTTTAATAAAGCAAATGGAGGCTTTTTTGAAACATTTAAAATGTCATCATAACATCAGATATCATAATATCAGATATCATAACATGCATTTCAAACTCCCAGAGCTTCGAATTCTGCCAAATCAATGGAGGAATATAACAATATAATAATAAAATAATGATAAAATCATCTGAACTGTTTATCCACTAACATTGTCCACAATCAGATGTTATTTCGTTGTGAACAAATTTGTCAGGACCAAGGACCCACCAAATGTGTATTCAGTCTATACAACATAGAAGAGCAAGTCATTTTATAATATACGTACTTTATTTTTTTATCATGTCCCCTACAATAGGAAACTTTTGTCGAAAAACAACCAATTTTTCCGCACAATTACAACACTTTCCTTTTACATAGTAAGTATTTAGAATGTTGAGACCACAATACTATTTAAAGCAATTCACAACAATCTTCACTTTTGGAAACCAAAGTGAAAATTTGACTTGCGCTTAAATAATAATAATAATGATAATAATAATAATAATAATAATAATATCGTGTTGTTTAAAAATTGAATTACAGGTTGTACAAAGATTGTAGATTCCAAAAGCAATGATTACAAAGAATTGATATGGCAGTAATATGTGCAAAAAACTCTCTTCAAAAACAAGATAAATTTGGTTATTAATGAAATAATTTACTTCTCATTAATATTTGAGTTATTAACGTTTAAACACTCTAAATATAATACGAATTTAAGATATCAATATGACTTCTAATCTCCTAGATTCCATCTCAAATTCTTCTCAATGTGTTTCCCGTGTTTGAAACCCCAAAAGTAACATCAACTGACGTCAATGTCACTGCAGCCCCTCGGACCAAGAGGTCCTAGGTTCGAGTCCCGACGGTGGCAGTATTTCCGCCACTCGCTTGTCAGCTCGGTCAGGTTCAGTCCCTGTCTGGAGGCGAATTGTAGCGGCTTTCCTTGGTAGCTTTCCGTGATTTCTTCGATCAACACCAGGAGAATGCCGGAGCTGTACCCTAACGAACGGGACACGGACCGCACGCGACCTTGCCTTCCTCTTCCCTGTTATATCTTTAGCCCTTACGTATGCACACTCACTAACATGCCCTACACTACTACGCATGCCGGGAGACCGGTCGAGAGCTTAGAGCTTGTCCTGGCTAGTGCGGTGCCCTACTGGTTGGAGTTACCTGAACGAGGAAACTCCCGCCAGCCGAAGATAGGTCGGCGCCGGATCTCGCAGGCCAGCCAGAGGGGAACGATCAGCGCCTGATCCCGAGGGAAGAAGATTCGCTTCCGGGTCTCATGGCATCTGTAGGTGACGCGCCGGAATCACTGGCTGCAGAGGTCAGCTGCAGAGGCCAGCTGGCGCAGAGGTTCGCGCATGGGGAGGGGGCGTGGGCGGCGGGGCGGAGCTGAGGGCGAGAGCTGTGTGGAGGCGGGCAGGGACGGGGACGGCGCGCTTTCAGCGCCCGTGCATTCAAACGCCCCCGAGGTTGACATGAAAAGTCTTTGCGCGCCAATAAGATATTACCCACCGTTCGGGGAGCGCGCGCCGGGCGGCTTTGAAGTCGGCGGCGGCGGCAAAACGCGCGATTCCCTTTGCGGCAAAGGCCGGCGCCGCGCCGCCCGCTGCCGTCGCGGCCCACATCAGGCGGCCAGGCCATATTACAGCGGCTGTTAGCGCCGGACTTACCGCAAAGCCTTGGCCGTCTCCATTAATATTACCGCTTCAGGCCAACATTTCCTTCCTCCCAAGATAGTACAATTACCACCCATACAATCACGAGCAGAATCGCCTCCATCGCTTGCAATTGACTCGGCAAAGCACTCTCACTCGTTACCCCACCTGCTCTTTATTACTAAGCTTTCTCCACAACTTTTGACGCTCAAGTCCCTAACGTTTCTGAATTTCAAGGAAAGATTTAGGCTTGCTCCCTCTTCTCTCCACTGTACATACTCTCGGAATTGACACGTGTAGAATATTCAAAGGTAGTCTGCACGTCAGATTGAACTCTGTTGTTGATGTTTTTCATGGGAATGTTCACCACGTGTCAGTTGTCATTCATATATTTATTTTGAAACTCAACCGTAGTGTTTCTCTGGTTTTGAATCACTCGACTTCAGCCCTCAAATGAGAAAAAAGTATTACTTTTGTTATCTCGGAAATGCTTTTCGTTAATAGGATAACCAACACCATTGACTTTCTCACTCACACGGATGAATTACATCCTATGTACACACTTATAATGTAAGTTCCTTGTAGTGGCTAATTACTTTTGTTTGAGATAATTAAGCTATAGTGTAACCCATTTGCAATCTCTCAACATGGGGTGCAACCTACTTTTACTTATTTTGGTTCTACTTCTCTTGAAACTTCAGGAGTGCATCTCTTATTGTGATGTTATATTTAAGTATGTTGTTTGTTTCTTTAGTTTTTCTCCCTTTTGACTTCATGTCCATTTTTGAACACTTGAGGATGGCCTCGAAAATACGTTGTGCCTGATAACTTGAACATTTCAACGTATAATTTAAAAATGTGTACTGATTTTACAGTTTTATAGAAATGCCTTTTGAACTTTATTCAACTTGAAGATTATGCAATCGCAAAAAGCTATTTCTAGAGGGGGAAGGATTTGGAATCACTTGGATAGTTCATGTTTCGTTACGTAATGTTCGTGTTTAAGATTCTTTTCAGCTGTTTCTTTGCTCACGTGACAGAATTGAGATGTAGGCTCTGCTAGTGGTATTCCGAAAATGGTTAAGATTAGTGCGGTTGGGGAGGAGATATACACAATTTTGTATCCAAAAATCGGGATGTGTCTGCCTGCACGTTGGATGGAGACATGAAAACATGTGTCAGGCTTAACTCTGTTGGATTAAAAGCTTTTTAACTCAAACTTAGTAAATAATCAGAAATAAGATGGTTAGATTGTTTTGGAAATCATTAGGATATGTTAATTTTCGGGGTCACTTTACAAGAAACCTTCGACAATTTCAAAATTTTCTTGAAAATGGCTGAAATTTGTTTCTTTAATTTTCTGGAATAGAAGAAAGTGTATTTAGAACAATGGATAGTTCCGTTTTTCATTCAATCCTATGAAATTTTGAAAATTAATAAGTTCAAATTTATTTTTGAATTTGTCCTTTAGCATCAATGTTAAAGCCAGAGATTTGTTTGTCAGTGCAATCTATACCTTAATTTTATACTTTTAAATGATGTACTGCTCTTTTACTACTACTACTAGTAGTAATACTAGTAGTTGAGTAGTACCTAGTGACATTGCGAGGAAGATAGGTGTAGTACGCCGCGCACATCCACAAACTTTTTCCAACTTTTCAAGAGAGATTACGAATCTAAAGTGTTTACATTCTTTTACATTTTCAACACGATGTAGTAAAACTTTGAAAATGTCGTGAGTGTCCAAGTTTTCAAATGTATCTTTTTATGATGTTTTCGTCACATATTATGTACTGCAGCAATGATACATGATTTCTCACACGCTATAATCAAAAATAAATGTTTTACCTACCTCGTTTTTCTTGCTTAAAGGTTTGGGTGCCAATTATCGAAGTTAAATGAAATATTTTCTTTTTCCACCATTTTTACATGAAAAAGAATGTCCCCTCATTTCTCTCAGTAATCAGCCACTTCAATTCAGTACCATGTGAACGCTAAATGACAATCACACGTATTACCACTATACGAACCCTCCTAAATTCCGATGTTACACAAGCCTCTCCTTGTGAAGCAATCTTGTTTGTTCCCTTCTGCTAGTCTGATCTGACATAATGAACCAAGTTGTGGTGAAATCACATATCTACTCTTGTTTCCCCACGATTAATCATCCGGCATCAGTATGTATGCACTTTGGCACAACAGCTCTTTACAAGCTAACGCCTACAGAGTCCGGCCATGGGTTGTGGGGTACGTGTGGTTAGCACATAGCCATGCTGTATTGTGGTAATCTCAACCTAAGAAGCGAGCTTTCTCATCACAATTCATTTTTGCCCTGACGGGGTTACGCCATGGAAAGCGAACACGTTAACCAACGAGCCAGCGAGGGCTATCCGCATCAGTAGGCCGTCAAACTCTCCGCCCTACCGAGCAGTCCCCGTAGTGAATGTTTCTATATCAACGCTCTGTCGGACTTCTACCAATGCTCTCTGAAGAGATGTCAAAGCATCATGCGTATTGCCAGTCTGTTCGGTGGTTATTTACATTACAAGACAAGAAGCTGTATGTTTTCGTGACTAGACGGAGAGTTCCCGAGCGAGGCCAATAGGCTGTCTAAGAACCTCATCGTTTCATGGATAGTGTGACGTCATGGATACTCACAGCGACCACAGACACAGAGCTTTCGTATAACAAATATAT